TGGTTTTGAGGTCCAGGGTCACATATATACTTACTAGATAAAGATATATATATATACTAATATATATATATATACTGTATATATGCATATTTTTTTATATTTTATAAAAACAGTATGAGGTCTCTTCGGTCCCAGCTTTAACATGTCAACTCCGCTGTTTCATGATTTTTTTTTACATACATATTTGGCCTGATTTACATGCCTTATTTATTTATTTACAACCTGTCACTCACATGAGATCACAGCAACAGTAAATCCTGATGTTATGGACTTCATAGAGAGCGAATATGCCAGTTGCCCACTGCTTTAGTCATGCAGGTCAGGCACAAATACAATTTACATCAATTATACAATTATTCAATAAATACAATTTACAATACTTTACAAATACAGTAACTGATGGGGTTTAAAGGCAGCCTACAGATCCTTTGGATTCATATTAGGAACATTTCTGTTGCTGCTACAGGGCAGCGCATAATAATGCTGACCATTACACTGAACCGAACATAAGCTTCTTGTATTTTGTGAGCTACTAGAGACTCAGACTGAGACATCCACTAGAAGGATTATTGTATTCATTTAAATATCAGTTCAAAAATGTGTTAGTTGTCATAATTTGCTGTCTTGTCAATCAGTTGGACCTTTGTCAACGCCGTCAGTTTTTAACACTGTCAGATGAAGGTTTCTGTTAATTTTGAAATAAAGATTTTATTCTTTTTTCAATATAATGTTTTAAAATAGTAAAACATGAACGGCACTACATGATAATATGTCTCTGTGCTCAAACAACATAGGTTATATATGTTTAATATAAAAAATGAAGAAATTTAGGAATTGGATTGTTCATAATAGAGTGAAAACTGGAAAAAAATATAGAGGATGTATTTAATCACTTCAGCTCCTTTACTGAACACCAATGAAGACTTCATATTGGGTGGATCAAATTAAAATATGCTTTTTAAGGCGTCTGACGGAGTTGACACAAATTAAGTTACGAAGTGAATAAATATTCATTTTTGGAAAAAAACATTTCCTTTCCTTTCACAGACTTTTTCATTAACTGTTCCCTCCTGGTGGAATGACCTGCTCAACTCAATCCGAGCAGCTGAGTCCTTAACCATCTTCAAGAAACGACTAAAAACATACCTGTTCCACCTTTATTTGACCCTCTAACTCTAGCACTTTCTATTCTATT